TCAAATGAAAGTCAAATGCATTATTCAAAGCTAATTGAATCAAAAGAAAATTTAACACGATCAAACAAAGCTAATTGAATCAAATGAAAGTCAAACACATTCAAACAAAGCTTTTTGAATCAAATGAAAGTCAAATGCATTCAAAAAAGCTAATTGAATCAAATGAAAGTCAAATGAAATCTACAAAAATTGAATCAAATGAAAGTCAAACACATTCAAACAAAGCTAATTGAATCAAACGAAAGTCTAATGCATTCTACGAAGCTAATTGAATCAGATGAAAGTCAAACACATTCAAACAAAGCTTTTTGATACAAATGAAAGTTAAATGCATTCTACAAAGCTAATTGAATCAAATAAAAGTCACATGCATTCTACAAAGCGAAGTGAATCAAATGAAAGTCAAACACATTCAATCAAAGTTTTTTGAATCAAGTTAAAGTCAAATACATTCAACAAAGCTAATTGAATCAAATGAAAGTCAAATGCATTCTACAAAGCGAATTGAATCAAAAGAAAGTTAAACACGATCAAACAAAGCTAACTGAATTAAATGAAAGTCAAACATATTCAAACAAAGCTTTTTGAATCAAATGAAAGTCAAATGCATTCAACGAAGCTAATTGAATCAAATAATAGTCAAATGCATTCTACAAATTTAATTGAATCAAATGAAAGTCAAACACATTCAGAAAAAGCTTTTTGATACAAATGAAAGTCAAATGCATTCAACAAAGCTAATTGAATCAAATAAAAGTCAAATGCATCCTACAAAGCTAATTGAATCAAATGAAAGTGAAACACATTCAAACAAAGCTTTTTGAATAAAATGAAAGTCAAATGCATTTAACAAAGCTAATTGAATCAAATAAAAGTCAAATGAAATCTACAAAAATTGAATTAAATGAAAGTCAAACACATTCAAACAAAGCTAATGCATTCTACAAAGCTAATTGAATCTAATGAAAGTCTAATGCATTCTACAAAGCTAATTGAATCAAATGAAAGTCAAACACATTCAAACAAAGTTTTTTTAAACAAATGAAAGTCAAATGCATGCAACAAAACTAATTGAATCAAATGAAAGTCAAATGCATTCTACAAAGCTAATTGAATCAAATGAAAGTCAAACACATTCAAACAAAGCTAATTGAATCAAATGAAAGTCTAATGCATTCTACAAAGCTAATTGAATCAAATGAACATCAAACACATTCAAACAAAGTTTTTTGAAACAAATAAAAGTCAAATGCATGCAACAAAGCTAATTGAATCAAATGAAAGTCAAATGCATTCTACAAAGCTAATTGAATCAAATGAAACTCTAACACATTCAAACAAAGTTTTTTTAATCAAATGAAAGTCTAATGCATTCAACAAAGCTAATTGAATCAAATAAAATTCAAATGCATTCTAAAAGGCTAATTGAATCAAATGAAAGTCAAACACATTTAAACATAGCTTTTTGAATCAAATGAAAGTCAAATGCATTCAAATAAGCTAATTGAATCAAATGAAAGTCAAATGCAATCTACAAAAATTGTTGAATAAAATGAAAGTCAAACACATTCAAACATAGCTTTTTGAATCAAATAAAAGTCAAATGCTTTCAACAAAGCTAATTGAATCAAATGAAAGTAAAATGCAATCTACAAGGCTAATTGAATCAAATGAATTCAAACACATTCAACCAAAGTTTTTCGAATGATATGAAAGTCAAATACATTCAACAAAGCTAATTGAATTAAATGAAAGTCAAATGCATTCTTCAAAGCTAATTGAATCAAATGAAAGTCAAACACATTCAAACCAAGCTTTTTGAATCAAATGAAAGTTAAATGCATTCTAAAAAGCTATTTGAACAAATGAGAGTCAAACACATTCAAAGAAAGCTTTTTGAATCAAATGAAAGTCAAATGCTTTTAACAAAGCTAATTGAATCAAATAAAACTCAAATGCATTCTACAAAGGTAATTGAATCAAACGAATGTGAAACATATTCAATCAAAGCTTTTTGAATCAAATGAAAGTCAAATTCATTCAACAAAGCTAATTGAATCAAATGAAATTCAAATGCATTATTCAAAGCTAATTGAATCAAAAGAAAATTTAACACGATCAAAAAAAGCTAATTGAATCAAATGAAAGTCAAACACATTCAAACAAAGCTTTTAAAATCAAATGAAAGTCAAATGCATTCAAAAAAGCTAATTGAATCAAATGAAAGTCAAATGAAATCTTCAAAAATTGAATCAAATGAAAGTCAAACACATTCAAACAAAGCTAATTGAATCAAACAAAAGTCTAATGCATTCTACGAAGCTAATTGAATCAGATGAAAGTCAAACACATTCAAAAAAAAGCTTTTTTATACAAATGAAAGTTAAATGCATTCTACAAAGCTAATTGAATCAAATAAAAGTCAAATGCATTCTACAAAGCTAAGTGAATCAAATGAAAGTCAAACACATTCAATCAAAGTTTTTTTAATCAAGTGAAAGTCAAATACATTCAACAAAGCTAATTGAATCAAATGAAAGTCAAATGCATTTTACAAAGCGAATTGAATCAAAAGAAAGTTAAACACGATCAAACAAAGCTAACTGAATCAAATGAAAGTTAAACATATTCAAACAAAGCTTTTTGAATCAAATGAAAGTCAAATGCATTCAACGAAGCTAATTGAATCAAATAAAAGTCAAATGCGTTCTACAAAGCTAATTGAATCAAATAAAAGTCAAACACATTCAAAAAAAGCTTTTTCAAACAAATGAAAGTCAAATGCTTTCAACAAAGCTAATTGAATAAAATAAAAGTCAAATGCATTCTACAAAGCTAATTGAATCAAATGAAAGTGAAACACATTCAAACAAAGCTTTTTCAATCAAATGAAAGTCAAAAGCATTCAACAAAGCTAATTGAATCAAATGAAAGTCAAATGCAATCTACAAAAATTGAATTAAATGAAAGTCAAACACATTCAAACAAAGCTAATTGAATCAAATAAAAGTCAAATGCATTCTACAAAGCTAAGTGAATCAAATGAAAGTCAAACACATTCAATCAAAGTTTTTTGAATCAACTGAAAGTCAAATACATTCAACAAAGCTAATTGAATCAAATGAAAGTCAAATGCATTCTACAAAGCGAATTGAATCAAAAGAAAGTTAAACATAATCAAACAAAGCTAACTGAATTAAATGAAAGTCAAACATATTCAAACAAAGCTTTTTGAATCAAATGAAAGTCAAATGCATTTGATGTGTAAGCAAGGTGAGAAACTTGTTTACAAACGGTCTGGAATGCGTGTTGTGTTTAGTTGAATTAGAAGTAGCAATGTGGAGTAACTAAGAAGGATTAGGGGAACTCTCACCCTTAACCTTGAGGATATAACAATGAGGAACACTCACTCACTTGTTTGGGCGTAGTAGTGATTAGGGAACTCTCACCTATTCGACAACTACAAGTTTAAGTCTTAGGAACTCTCACTAAAACACAAACTCTTCAAATTGAGATAACTCTCAAGTTTGGAAAATTAAACCTGACTAGCACTAGTCAAATTTAGATCATACACTCGTGTGTTTCTTGCAAATTTCTGGAATATGTTTCATTGATCATTAGCATGCTATTTATAGCTTTAGTACATCATTTAATTGCCACTACACTTAGCTAAAACAAGCAACAAATCAGAAATAACAAAACTGAAAATAAGGGTAGATTAAGTGGCTCATAACCGTCCAACTTAAACCCCATTACAACTAATTATTACTCTAATTAAGAAAGCTTATAACAAGGGAAGAAAACGTTCAGCAAATTGACTCCAACATGCTGTCCAAATTCGTCCTCCAAAGCAGCCTTTAAATGCGCCTTTGTAACCTCCCAATTAAGCCTTCATTCAAGCTCCTTTATTACGAAGTTAAACCAGCTTGAAACTCTCCTTAAATCCGTCTATATTCCCCCATTATCAAGGTAATTAGTCACGCTCAATATGGTGCAGCAAGTTGAGTAATTATATGGACCGTGCACCCCAAAATCCATAGGAGTAGGATCGAAGAAAGACTTGGACAAAATCAATTCCCTAACGTTCAACTCTTGGACTGGAATATTCGAACCTTGACCACTTTGGTCATCCTCCCCTTCTTCAAAGGGAATTGCCCTCAATTCTTCATCATTATAGTACGGTGCTAGATCCCCCACATTGAATGTGCTTGAGACGCCATACTTTCCTCCCAAATCTACCTTGTAGGCATTGTCATTGATCTTTTCCACTATCTCAAAAGGACCCTCGGCTCGTGGCATGAGCTTGTTCTTCCTTTGATTAGGAAACCTTTCCTTCCTCATGTAGATCCACACTAAGTCACCAACTTCAAAACTTCTCACGTTTTTAACTCTCTTGTTGGCTTGCTTCTTATAGATTTCATTAGCCTTCTCGATGTTCTTCCTTACTTCCTTGTGGATTTTCACCATGAACTCGGCTTGTTCCTTGGCACCTCCATGCACGAACTTGTCTCGAGGCAATGCTATGAGATCAATTGGAACATAAGGATTAGAACCATAGACTACTTCAAAAGGAGAATACTTCGTAGTAGTGCTAGGAGTTCTATTGTAAGCAAACTTGGCATGAGCGAGTTTGACATCCCAATCTTTGGTGCTTTTACTAACCAAGGTCCTAAGCAAAGAACCTAGTACTCTATTCACCACCTCGGTTTGGCCATCGGTTTGGGGGTGATGTGAGGTAGAAAACAGCAACTTGGTTCCCATAAGACGCCACAAGGACTTCCAAAAATGACTTTGGAACTTTGTATCTCGATCTGAAACAATGGTGCGTGGGATTCCATGGAAACGAACAACCCCATCAAAATATAATTTCGCCACCTTCGCAGCATCTTCGGTTTTATGACAAGGGACAAAGTGAGCCATTTTTGAAAAACGATCAACTACCACCATGATTGAGTCCTTACCTCTTTGAGTTCTAGGTAAAGCCACAATGAAATCCATGCTTATGTCTTCCCAAGGTCTCTCCGGAATTGGCAATGGCTTGTAAAGACCTTTGTGAAACACCATCTTTGCCCTTTGACAAGTAGAACAACGTGCTACAACACGGTGAATAGTGGATAGCATATTAGGCCAATAAAAGTGAGCTTGAAGAAGCTCCATAGTCTTTTGAACTCCGAAATGGCCTGCTAAACCTCCCCCATGCGCTTCATGAATCAACAAGCTTCGAATTGGTCATTTGGGAATGCATAACCTATTTCCCTTAAAAAGAAAATCATTTTGTAAGGAAAATAATTCATAACTACCATTCACGCATTTCTCCAAAATGACCTTGAAGTCATCATCTTCCTTGTAGTATTCTTTGATTAATTCGAACCCAAGGACTTTCGCCTCAACGACTCCAAGTAAAGTATGCCTTCGAGATAAGGCATCCGCAACAACATTTGCCTTTCCACTCTTGTACTTTGATGAAAAGTTAAATGTTTGCAAGAATTCCACCCACTTTGCATGTCTCGAATTCAACTTCTTTTGGCCATGGATGAACCTCAAAGATTCATGGTCAGAATGAAGTATGAATGGTTGTGGTCTCAAGTAATGCGACCAATGATTCAAAGCTCGCACCATGGCATAGAACTCCTTATCATAGGTGGAATAATTCAGCTTGCCATGGCTCAATTTCTCACTAAAGTAGGCAATAGGACGCCCTTCTTGAATCAACACGACACCAATCCCCTTTCCGCTTGCATCACACTCAACTTCAAATGGCTTTGAAAAATCTGGAAGTGCTAGGATGGGTGTATTGCACATTTTTTCTTTGATCACTTCAAATGCCTTTTGAGCTTGAGGAGTCCATTCAAATGAGCCCTTCTTTGTGCACTCGGTGATAGGGGTCATGAGAGTGCTGAAATTACGAATGAACCTCCTATAAAAGGAAGCTAATCCATGGAAAGAACGGACCTCCGTGAGTGTCTTTGGACTAGGCCATGATTGAATAGCCTCAATCTTGCTAGGATCAACTTTCACACCTTCTCCTGAAACAATGTAACCAAGAAAAGTGACCTCATATAGCATAAAATTACATTTTTCAAGTTTTCCATACAATTTTTGCTCTCTCAAAACCGTAAAAACTTTAAATAAATGTATCAAATGTTCATCCCCATCTTTGCTATAAATAAGGATATCATCAAGGTACACCACCACGAATTTGCCAAGGAAAGGCCGCAACACCTCGTTCATCAACCTCATGAAAGTGCTAGGTGCGTTGGTGAGTCCAAATGGCATCACGAGCCACTCATAAAAGCCGTGCTTGGTTTTGAAAGCGGTCTTCCATTCATCTCCTTTCCTCATCCGAATTTGATGATAACCACTCCTCAAATCCACTTTTGAAAACCACTTCGAGCCACTCAGCTCATCAAGCATGTCATCTAGTCTTGGAATTGGAAACCTATACTTGATAGTAATATTGTTAAAAGCCCTACTATTCATACACATGCGCCATGTACCATCCTTTTTAGGGACCAAAAGAGCAGGAACAGCACACGGACTCATAGACTCACGTACATACCCCATACTCATCAACTCCTCAATTTGTCGTTGCAATTCCTTAGTTTCCAAGGGATTACACCTATAGGCAGGTTTGTTAGGCAAAGGAGCACCCGGAATGAGGTCAATTTGATGTTCAATTCCCCTCAAAGGTGGTAACTCTTTCGGTAACTCATCGGGAAAAACATCCTCAAAATCCTTGATCAACTGGGCTAATTTGGGATTTTGCCTCACAAAATTTTCGTGGATCTCTTTAGAGTACAACAAGTATAATTCATCCTCACCATCAATTTCCCTCTCAAATTCCTTAAGGGTAAGCAATGACACCTCCTTTGATTGTTTAGGATTTTGTGAAAACCGTGGGGGTGGTAAAGGGTGCAATTTTTTTTGTTTTCCTTGGTGAGTTATAGTGTAAGTGTTATGGTACCCATCATGTTGAGATTTTCGATCAGTTTGCCAAGGTCTACCAAGCAAAATGTGACAAGCATCCATAGACACAACATCACACAGTTGAGTATCATGATAAGACCCAATAGAAAAACTAACCATGCATTGTTTCCTAACTCCCGTGCTAGAATTAGAGTCCAACCAACTCAACTTATAAGGATGTGGGTGATTTGTCGTTGTAAGACCAAGTCTAGCTATCAAGGTTTTGGAAACTGTGTTTGCCTCACTACCACCATCAACAATTAAATCACATACCTCGCCTTTAATCTTGCACTTGGTGATGAAAATGTGTTGCCTTTGCGGTGCTAAGGGTTCGTCAACGCGAGCTTGCAACGCCCTTCTCACAACCAGATTTGTTTTGGGCTCTTCTTCGGGGAAGCATTGTTCTTCCTCCTCGTCCCCTTCATTAGAATTCACGTCCTCCACTTCTTCAACCTTGAAATCCTCCCAATTGATAGTTTGATTAGCAATAAGCTTTACCTCTTGTATGGTCAAAGCTCTGGAATTTGGACAATCCTTCTTAAAATGGCCCCTTCCTCCGCACTTGTAACAAACAATGTCACTCATTTTGAAATCTTTCTTTTCCTTCTTAGGTGGATCGTTGGCTTTGACAAAAGAAGAACCATCCTTGACAGGGAAGGTTGGTCTTCGTGCCACTTGAGGGGTGACAATCGGCTTTTTCTTCTTCCTTTTTTAATCAAACTTGATCACAAATTTGCAAGCTTCAGCAAAGGTTAAATTGGTGTAACCTTCAAGTTTGTCTTGCAACTCTTGATCCAACCCAGCCACGAAACGTCCCATCTTGAGTTCTTCATTCTCCGTGATTTCACACACGATAGAAAGTCTGTCAAACTCTTTGATGTAGTCCTCAGCCGATTCTCCATTTTGTTGCAAAGTGCTCCACTTCACATATTGACTTTGCTTGAAATTGTGAGGAATAAAGCGATCCCTCATCCTTTTCTTCAACTTGCTCCAAGTAGAAATAGACGCCTTACCCCTAAGAGTACGTCCCCTTTGCTCTCCTTGTAGCCAGTTATCCCCATCGCCCTTCAATTTCACCTTGGCTATCTTGTATTTTTGGAACTCCTCTTGCATGTCCTTGTAATCGAAATACCTCTCCAAGGATTTCTCCTATTCCAAGTACTTTTCTGGATCAAGTGTCCCGTCAAAGTCAGGGACATCCACTTTGAGACTCCTATCTTCCCTCCTAGGTGGAGGGTCTTCGCCTTGATCTCTCCTATCATGCTCGTTCATGAGCCTTGCCATCAAGGCAGCAAGGTTCCCTTGTAGATTGGCGTTGGTTTCGGCCAACCTCTCTTGACTAGCAATGGATCGATTAAGAGCTTCCAAAGCTGTCCTCAAGTCTTGATTTTCTCCCATGGTATGTAGGTATTCGACCCCTTTGGAAGAATTTAAGAAAACTCTCCCCCTACCTGACGCGCCAAATGATGTGTAAGCAAGGTGAGAAACTTGTTTACAAACGGTCTGGAATGCGTGTTGTGTTTAGTTGAATTAGAAGTAGCAATGTGGAGTAACTAAGAAGGATTAGGGGAACTCTCACCCTTAACCTTGAGGATATAACAATGAGGAACACTCACTCACTTGTTTGGGCGTAGTAGTGATTAGGGAACTCTCACCTATTCGACAACTACAAGTTTAAGTCTTAGGAACTCTCACTAAAACACAAACTCTTCAAATTGAGATAACTCTCAAGTTTGGAAAATCAAACCTGACTAGCACAAGTCAAATTTAGATCATACACTCGTGTGTTTCTTGCAAATTTCTGGAATATGTTTCATTGATCATTAGCATGCTATTTATAGCTTTAGTACATCATTTAATTGCCACTACACTTAGCTAAAACAAGCAACAAATCAGAAATAACAAAACTGAAAATAAGGGTAGATTAAGTGGCTCATAACCGTCCAACTTAAACCCCATTACAACTAATTATTACTCTAATTAAGAAAGCTTATAACAAGGGAAGAAAACGTTCAGCAAATGGACTCCAACATGCTGTCCAAATTCGTCCTCCAAAGCAGCCTTTAAATGCGCCTTTGTAACCTCCCAATTAAGCCTTCATTAAAGCTCCTTTATTACGAAGTTAAACCAGCTTGAAACTCTCCTTAAATCCGTCTATATTCCCCCATTATCAAGGTAATTAGTCACGCTCAATATGGTGCAGCCAGTTGAGTAATTATATGGACCGTGCACCCCAAAATCCATAGGAGTAGGATCGAAGAAAGACTTGGACAAAATCAATTCCCTAACGTTCAACTCTTGGACTGGAATATTCGAACCTTGACCACTTTGGTCAGCATTCAACGAAGCTAATTAAATCAAAAAATAGTCAAATGCATTCTACAAAGCTAATTGAATCAAATGAAAGTCAAACACATTCAGAAAAAGCTTTTTGATACAAATGAAAGTCAAATGCATTCAACAAAGCTAATTGAATCAAATAAAAGTCAAATGCATTCTACAAAGCTAATTGAATCAAATGAAAGTGAAACACATTCAAACAAAGCTTTTTGAATCAAATGAAAGTCAAATGCATTCAACAAATCTAATTGAATCAAATGAAAGTCAAATGCAATTCTAAAAGGCTAATTGAATCAAATGAAAGTCAAACACATTCTACAAAGCTAATTGAATCAAATGAAAGTCAAACCCATTCAAACATAGCTTTTTGAATCAAATTAAAGTCAAATGCTTTCAACAAAGCTAATTGAATCAAATGAAAGTCAAATGCAATCTACAAGGCTAATTGAATCAAATGAATTCAAACACATTCAACCAAAGTTTTTCGAATGATATGAAAGTCAAATAAATTCAACAAAGCTAATTGAATTAAATGAAAGTCAAATGCATTCTACAAAGCTAATTGAATCAAATGAAAGTCAATCACATTCAAACAAAGCTTTTTGAACCAGATGAAAGTTAAATGCATTCTAAAAAGCTAATTGAATCAAATGAGAGTCAAACACATTCAAAGAAAGCTTTTTGAATCAAATGAAAGTAAAATGCTTTTAACAAAGCTAATCGAATCAAATAAAACTCAAATGCATTCTACAAAGGTAATTGAATCAAATGAAAGTGAAACACATTCAATCAAAGCTTTTTGAATCAAATGAGGGTCAAATTCATTCAACAAAGCTAATTGAATCAAATGAAAGTTAAATGCTTTATTCAAAGCTAATTGAATCAAAAGAAAATTTAACACGATCAAACAAAGCTAATTGAATCAAATGAAAGTCAAACACATTCAAACAAAGCTTTTTGAATCAAATGAAAGTCAAATGCATTCAAAAAAGCTAATTGAATCAAATGAAAGTCAAATGAAATCTACAAAAATTGAATCAAATGAAAGTCAACCACATTCAAACAAAGCTAATTGAATCAAACGAAAGTCTAATGCATTCTACGAAGCTAATTGAATCAGATGAAAGTCAAACACATTCAAACAAAGTTTTTTGATACAAATGAAAGTTAAATGCATTCTACAAAGCTAATAGAACCAAATAAAAGTCAAACACATTCAAACAAAGCTTTTTGACTCAAATGAAAGTCAAATGCATTCAAAAAAGCTAATTGAATCAAATGAAAGTCAAATGAAATATACAAAAATTGAATCAAATGAAAGTCAAACACATTCAACAAAGCTTTTTGAATCAAATGAAGGTCAAATGCATTCAAAAAAGCTAATTGAATCAAATGAAAGTCAAATGAAATCTACAAAAATTGAATCAAATGAAGGTCAAACACATTCAAACAAAGCTAATTGAATCAAACGAAAGTCTAATGCATTCTACGAAGCTAATTGAATCAGATGAAAGTCAAACACATTCAAACAAAGCTTTTTGATACAAATGAAAATTAAATGCATTCTACAAAGCTAATTGAATCAAATGAAAGTCAAATGCATTCTACAAAGCGAATTGAATCAAAAGAAAGTTAAACACGATCAAACAAAGCAAACTGAATCAAATGAAAGTCAAACTCATTCAAACAAAGCTAATTGAATCAAATAAAAGTGTAATGCATTCTACGAAGCTAATTGAATCAGATGAAAGTCAAACACATTCAAACAAAGCTTTTTGATACACATGAAAGTCAAATGCATTCAACAAAGCTAATTGAATCAAATGAAAGTCTAATGCATTCTACAAAGCTAATTGAATCAAATGAAAGTCAAACACATTCAAACAAAGCTTTTTGAATCAAATGAAAGTCAAATGCATTCAAAAAAGCTAATTGAATCAAATGAAAGTAAAATGAAATCTACAAAAATTGAATCAAATGAAAGTCAAACACATTCAAACAAAGCTAATTGAATCAAACGAAAGTCTAATGCATTCTACGAAGCTAATTGAATCAGATGAAAGTCAAACACATTCAAACGAAGCTTTTTGATACAAATGATAGTTAAATGCATTCTACAAAGCTAATTGAACCAAATAAAAGTCAAATGCATTTTACAAAGCTAAGTGAATCAAATGAAAGTCAAACACATTCAATCAAAGTTTTTTGAATCAAGTGAAAGTCAAATACATTCAACAAAGCTAATTGAATCAAATAAAAGTCAAATGCATTCTACAAAACTAAGTGAATCAAATGAAAGTCAAACACATTCAATCAAAGTTTTTTGAATCAAGTGAAAGTCAAATACATTCAACAAAGCTAATTGAATCAAATGAAAGTCAAATGCATTCTACAAAGCTAATTGAATCAAAAGAAAGTTAAACACGATCAAAGAAAGCTAACTGAATAAAATGAAAGTCAAACATATTCAAACAAAGCTTTTTGAATCAAATGAAAGTAAAATGCATTCAACAAAGCTAATTGAATCAAATGAAATTCAAATTCATTCTAAAAGGCTAATTGAATCAAATGAAAGTCAAACACATTCAAACATAGCTTTTTAAATCAAACGAAAGTCTAATGCATTCTACGAAGCTAATTGAATCAGATGAAAGTCAAACACATTCAAACGAAGCTTTTTGATACAAATGAAAGTTAAATGCATTCTACAAAGCTAATTGAACCAAATAAAAGTCAAATGCATTCTACAAAGCTAAGTGAATCAAATGAAAGTCAAACACATTCAATCAAAGTTTTTTGAATCAAGTGAAAGTCAAATACATTCAACAAAGCTAATTGAATCAAATGGAAGTCAAATGCATTCTACAAAGCGAATTGAATCAAAAGAAAGTTAAACACGATCAAACAAAGCTAACTGAATCAAATGAAAGTCAAACTCATTCAAACAAAGCTAATTGAATCAAATAAAAGTCTAATGTATTCTACGAAGCTAATTGAATCAGATGAAAGTCAAACACATTCAAACAAAGCTTTTTGATACAAATGAAAGTTAAATGCATTCTACAAAGCTAATTGAATAAAATAAAAGTCAAATGCATTCTACAAAGCTAAGTGAATCAAATGAAAGTCAAACACATTCAATCAAAGTTTTTTGAATCAAGTGAAAGTCAAATACATTCAACAAAGCTAATTGAATCAAATGGAAGTCAAATGCATTCTACAAAGCGAATTGAATCAAAAGAAAGTTAAACACGATCAAACAAAGCTAACTGAATCAAATGAAAGTCAAACTCATTCAAACAAAGCTAATTGAATCAAATAAAAGTCTAATGTATTCTACGAAGCTAATTGAATCAGATGAAAGTCAAACACATTCAAACAAAGCTTTTTGATACAAATGAAAGTTAAATGCATTCTACAAAGCTAATTGAATAAAATAAAAGTCAAATGCATTCTACAAAGCTAAGTGAATCAAATGAAAGTCAAACACATTCAATCAAAGTTTTTTGATTCAAGTGAAAGTCAAATACATTCAACAAAGCTAATTGAATCAAATGAAAGTCAAATGCATTCTACAAAGCGAATTGAATCAAAATAAAGTTAAACACGATCAAACAAAGCTAACTGAATAAAATGAAAGTCAAACATATTCAAACAAAGCTTTTTGAATCAAATGAAAGTAAAATGCATTAAACAAAGCTAATTGAATCAAATGAAATTCAAATGCATTCTAAAAAGCTATTTGAATCAAATGAAAGTCAAACACATTCAAA